CGGGCAGGGTGCTGTCATGTTTTTGTACCACACATACACCAAGGGATTATTACATTTGCATCCCAGAAATTGGACTGAGACTCTCGCTTATCCTGCAGCACGATGCAGGTAACGACAAGGGCTCTAATGACACATCAAAGGCTTTGCTAAGCTCCTGGTAACCATGAGAACGAAGCTGAAGTGGTTTGTTGTACCATCAGGCCTGGGAAAGGTATGTTTAGCCTGATTCACGCTTCCTGCCATTGTGTTGAGCAGTTCAAAGGACTTCCCGTGACTTTAAAGAGGAAAGCATGGTTTCGCTATTGGATGTTCCACTTTTGGTGCAAAGTGGAGAGAAAACACGAGGAGTTTGATTTCAAGGCAGTTTTACGTAAGTCGCTGCTTGCGACTGGAACAGATGAGCCAAAGGATGCAACAGTTGGATTATGTGATTGCACGTTGGCTGTATTTCGCATATTATTTAGGTTTTATAATGACATCTCAGGGCTCAGATGTCTGGACGTGGACAGGGCATTGGAGCCATGAAGCAAACCTCTGTGGCGAGCTGGCCGTAAGCTCCCTCGCCTGGGGTGAGGGGCAACGAAGAAAATTTCTGCAACAGGCTCTTTTACCCAAACACTGCAGAGGCAGATGTAATTGCATGGGAAGCAAGATACATTCCTCTTAGTCTGACATTTTGACGTTTCATTAGGCAAAGCATATGGTGCTGAGGAGCCCTTTGCCAGCAACAGGAGGTGGCAGGGAAGGCCGGCGGAGGGGGGAGCGCAACGGGAATGTGGGCGCTCTCCTGAGTGGTGACTGATTCCGCAGCTCGCCTAAATGCCTCTGTTAATTAGCGCTCTGAAAGATGAGTGTGTGCAAGACAGGCTGCGGGAGGGAGAGGGTGAAAGCTGTCCGAGGGATGCGGGAGGCAGAGGGGTGAGCAGAGGTGTGGGGAGAGCATCTCGGGGAGCCAGCACACCCCAGCCTGCATGGGAGCAAGACAAAGAGGATTCAAGCAAGGGAGAACTCCGAGGGTGGGGGGAAAAATACCCATATTGCTGCCATATAGCTGACTCCCTTCATGTGTTATCTGTAAATGTGCTGACTTCTAGCTGGCCGAAGTTGCTGAACCAGATCGTCTCACTGGAATGATTTTGCATCTTCTTTTTAACTCAATTTCAGGAGATTTAAAAATTCCTTTCATTGTAGGTGGAGAAGTGGCAGATGATGTTGTTTCTTCAGTGGTTTGCTGGTGGATTTATTGTGGTGGTGTTTACTGACTCAGATAATAAATCACACTTCCAAATGTCATTGTTGCATTCCCACACACCTACAGAGTGATCCATGGCCATGAAAGGTCAGGAGGGTATGGCCAAGGCCAGCTCTTGTGCCCAGCTGGTCTCTGCTGCCATCCCAGCCCCCTCTGTGGATTTTTCTGGCTGCTCTAAATTGGGCTTAACCACTGGACCCACAGTCTGCAGCCCTTTGAGTCATTCAGCCTTATTAATAGTGACTGTTGGTCACAGCCAAGACTTGCAAATGGTGCGGTGGATGAAAAAGGCCTTTCTGTTTTCTCGGGGGGACTTCAGGATATGTGAGAAAAGAGTGATCAGAGGAAAGGTTCTTTGGAAAAGCTGACTTTGAGAACAGCCAACTAAGAGCCTTTTGAAATAATAATTAGTAAAGTCAGTGAAGAAATAGGAAGGTAAAAAGTAGAAGACTTCAGTGGTCTGCTGAAGAAGACAGGGAAAGGGCATCAACATTTCCTTTATACAAGTGACAGTGACAAATATTAGAAGCAAAAAGTGCATTGCAGTCGGAAAGGACACAGGAGGAATTGAATGGTAAAATACATGAGGACGTGGTTGACAAGCTTGCCAACCATGAACCTCCCCAAGTGAATTTTGAGCTCACAGAAGAAAACATTAAAAAAGAAACAGAACAGGAAGAGCAAGGCTGTGGAGTCCACGTTGTGCTGCCAGGTTTTCATACCTGCTTCTTGAAATCCTAATCTTCATCCGGATTATGAAAGAGAAGCATCAGAGCAAATGAGTAATTTGTTTGTGGTGGCCTTTGAGTGTTCAAAAGAAAATCATTCCAACAATGCGCTTGTAGGCTTGTCAAAATCATGGTCAGTCTTTCCATTGTCTTCAGTGAGTCTTGGTTGAAATCTTAAAGACCATCTTGTGTAAAACAGGTACATTTAGTCCAGAGGTGAAGAAGAGATCAGGGAGTGAGAGTAGTGATTTATTTTCAGGGAAGTTACATTAAAAACACAGTGGTTCTTGGGTTGGCTGAGCTGAGGCAGGACATAATACAAGCAGGACAGTCATCATCACCTCTTTGTCAGTGGAATGATTGATTTCTACAGGACATGGTGGTCACTACCCATGTGCATGGATTCAGAAAGGATTGGCAGACTCAGAGTAGAAAAGATCCTTGGTCTCTGGTGCAATCAATCATCTCTGAATTATGAAACAGCCTCTGAATACATAATACATTATAATAATTATAATTACATATAATATATAATACATGATGATAATTATAATTATAGCCTCTGAATCATGGAAGCCATAAGCCACCGGCTGCTGGAAGGTGACAGCAAGGTGTGGTTTGCTGTGAATTCACCCAGGTTTTGTGCTTCTCTATAATCCCTGTGAAGTTCAACAAGGCCAAGTACAAGGCCTTGCGCCTGGGTCAGGGCTATCCGAAAAACATATATAATGGGCTGAGAGAAGCCCTGCAGAGAAGGAGTTGGGGTGTTGGTTGATGAGAAGCTCAACACGACCTGGCAATGTGTGTTTGCACTCAAAAAAGCCAACCATATCCTGGGCTGCATCAAGAGAATACAGCATCATTCTCTTGATGTAATGGCCAGCAAGTCAAGGGAGGTGATTCTGCCATGCTACTCTGCTCTGGTGAGACCTCATCTGACGTACTGCCTCCAGCTCTGGAGATCCTGATATAGGAAGGATGTGAACCTGTTGGAGCAAGTCCAGAGGAGGGCCACAAAGGTGACTAAAGGGCTGGAGCAGAGGCTGAGAGAGTTGAGGCTGCTCAACCTGGAGAAGAGAAGGCATTAAGGAGCAGGGAGGTACCACTGAAACGCTGTGGGATCAGAAGGTCTGCAGGAAACTCGCGGCTTTCCCTTGCTGGCTCGTGCAAGAATAAGGCGTAGATTTCCCCTCAGTGTGATCTGCTCTGCAGCGCTGTGACCCCAGTGATCACTGCAAAAGCGTCCCGTGCCTCACCTCCAGACATTCCCAAAGGATGGTTAACAGAGTTTTAAACCCCTGCTGTGGGTTTTGTTACCCGGCCCTGCCCCATTGAAGTTATGGCAGCTTCTGCCTCTGCTCTTCCACTTCTTGGTTAATGCTTCCTCAGCCTGTCTCTCACGAGGACATCAGCTTTTGTTGACCCTCTAAAATGAGCAGATGAGGCTGGACATGGGTCTGACATGGCGAGGGAGACTTACTGGTGCAGCCTGGGCTGATCTCGCAGCCGACACGGAGCAGCCGTGCAGGAACGTGCTGCTGCTCCGTCCCTCGCTCACACCAGTGCCCACCTGTCGCAGCTCCATCTGCTGCCTGCAGCCACTGGCGCCGCAGCCTCAGACATCTCCTGCCCCTCCAAGGCACGGTGATTCTGCTCTGGTTTTCCTCACAAGGGTTTTTAAAGCAGTTTGTGAAGTGCTTGGTTTTGTCCATCAGTTTCTTTTTATGCCAAGTTTAAAACACAGTCTTTTTTTTTTTTTTTTTGCAGAATCTGTTAAGGGTTGTCCACCTGAAAAAAGTAACCTTTATTTGTCTTTTCTTTCCTGTTCTTTTCCCTTCTTTGCTTTTGTCAAACAAAATCTGTACCCTTTGTTTTTCTCAGGGTCTCTTTTGTGTTTGACTAAGCCTCAATATTTTCTGTGAAGAAGAGCTTCCCTGAATCTTTTTCCAGCTGAAGGAAAATATCTCAATAGAAGCTTTCCACTGTGCTTCTTGACCTGAGTTTCCCACAAGCCACCTTCACCCTTAGGTCTGTGCTCTTGCCCTTTGCATCCACCTGTTGCTTCTGTCATGGTTCATTTGTCGTTTTGTCGAGCCATCAGAGTGGGTACTTTTTTTTTCCACAAAAGGTTCCTTCGGAGAAGATTGTATTAGAGATCTGCCAGGAAGGCATCTGTGCTGGCTTCCCCTCCTAAGCTGCCAGCTTTGCAGTACTTCAGGAAGGAACACGAGCTTAGAACGGCCTTTTTTAGAGCCTTTTTATAACAGATCCTTTTATGCCTGGCCCCGTGTCCTGCAGCACATTGCTTTTATGGTTGTGCCTCCTTCACAAAACTGCTTCCTGACAAGGTATCCCACTGGGATTTGGTGGATGTGTAAAGCGCACAAGTTGTCCTGTACCCCGCCAAACAGCCCGAGGACACTCAGTTCTGTATCTGCCTGCAGCATCCCCTGCAGTGCCACCAGCGAGGCAAGAGCAGAGGGAGGTGGGATGAGGTGTCCCACCTGCACAGGGCTGTGTTGTTCCTTGGTGCAACATCTGCGACTCCGTGGCTCTCACTGACTTTGTTCAGCAGCCCAGTAGCCCTGTGGCTTCCTGACTGAACAATCTGCCAGCGCTCGGTGCCTTCCAGACCCCTGGGAAGAATAGACTATGTTCTCTGGGAGCCTTTACCATCTTCTTTCCAGCATGGTCCATGAGGTGTCCCCTGGCCTCAGGTGTTAATGAGCTCTTTGTGCACAGTGCATAAGCAAACAGATTTTCTGACTGCACTGAGTGGATAAAGATGAACTCAGTCAATAGGGTTGAGTTTATACAACAGGAAAGGCTGCCACAGACCTGTGTGCCTGCTGTTCTTTCCACAGCTGATGGCCTTCTGCCCAGACACCCAGAGGTTAGCGACCACGTTGAGGCCTTTGTCGCCTTTGATGGATGCAGGGCAAAGATGTTGTGACAGAAGGGCCAGGTGGGAGCCTCCACAGCCGTGTGTTTCTGATCATACCCTGTGTTTTGTCTTGTAGGCTAACGATTCACGCAGAGTGCCCCATGCACCTGGAGGACTTCCCAATGGACGTGCATGCTTGCCCACTGAAATTTGGGAGCTGTAAGTACCCGGATCAGTCTCTGCGAGGAGGTGCGTGCAGAGCTAAAGAACAGTCCTTTGTGTGGCTAGTGTTTTCCAGTATTTTAGTAGGAGTGTTATTAATTATTGCTAATGATTAGGCGACCAAAAATTTGTTGCTGGGACCTCATACACACAATTCCTACCATCGTCAGAAATGGGCAGCGAGCCACTCTGTGTTTGATTCAGGCTCACAGAATGGGTTGGATCCCTATGGTTTTGCTGTAGGTTAATTAGGGAAGTGGGAAGAGCAGCTTCCCATTGCCCTCCCTGCCTTTGGTGGGCAGAGCTGCCACCGGCGTTGGTGGAAAGCTCAGAAATGCTTTTCCTTCATCCCAAGGCGATCCTGGGGGGAAACGATTTCAGAAGATAGCAGCGGTCCCTGCTGGTAGGTGTCCTGTCCAGCTTTGCCACATCGTTCCTGACAGTCTGGGGAGAGCCTGAAGTCTCTGGTTGCTTTGGCTCCATGCTCCAATGGAGCTTACAAACCCCTCGGTCCTCTTCAGTCTGTCAGGCAAGCTGCTCTCAAGTAAAAGGTTTGAAAACTCCAGGAGTCTCATTCCCAACATCCAAGGTCCTGGTTTAGGGAAGAACTGCAGGCTTCTGGGTTGCTGAAAGCTGCTCCCAGGCTTATAGCTGCTCATCTGCCTGGACTTCCCATACCCTGCCTAGGAACAAGTTCCCTCTTCTCTCCCCTCTACAAGTTAAATTGCTTTTGGTTTTGTTCCTGAAGTGAGGGGGAAGCAAATTCCAAGCCACTGGTTCACCGTAATGTTGAAATAAATATCCTAGTCCCTCTCTGCCTGGAGTCTCCAGGTCCAATGAACTGAGGACCACTCTCAGTCTGTGTTTGCATTAGATGGAAGAGTTACCCACCTCCAACTAAAGAATGACCCATCACCAGTAATGTGCTTTTGGGACTCTAAGAAAACAGAGAAGTCACAACCTTTCTAAACTGATACTTCCTTCCTGTAGCCATTTGTGGGTCAGCTAAGGAGAAAGTTGAAAAACTTGATTGACACCAGAAGAAATTGTGTTTATCATGTGCATCTGCTCCTCTGCCTCATGACAAAATGGATCCATGAAACTGGATTATTCCAAACTACTAAAATAAAGTTATTTCTTAGGCAGTACCTAATTAAATGTAGAGCTCATTGCCACAAGACATCACTAAGGACAGTAAAATAGCAAGCCTTAGACAAGGATGTTAATTGACCTTGTGAGGAGGGATATAAAATTTCATACCTCAGGCCTAAACTCTGGGATTATTACAAGACTTGCAGGAAGGCAGATTACTCCACATCTAATTGCTTATAATGTTTCTCAGTGAGGAAAAAAGATTACTGTGCATATTTCAGCTGGAACACCCTTTGGGGTTCTTCTGGGTATTTTTACTGATTTAACTTCTGAATGATGAGAATTTTGACACAAGCAGCTCAGAGAGCTGCCCCTGATTAACGTTAGTCTGGCTCTTTCTAAAGCACCCATCCGCATAGCATCTGAGCTCACCTCCCTTGTGTCAGAATAGAATTAAATCAGTGTTTGCACCAAAAAGCTGTTAACAGCTGGACACTGCTCATTTGCAAGAAGCGTAGAGCAGGTCAGATTTGTACGTAGAAGAACAATCATAGAATCACAGAATGTTTGGGGTTGGAAGGGACCTCTAGAGACCATCCAGTCCAATGCCCCTGCCAGAGCAGGGTCACCCAGGGCAGCCACACAGGAACCTTCCAGGAAGGTTTGAAAGTCTCCAGAGCAGGAGACTCCACACCCTGGCCAGGGCTCCGGCACCTGCACAGCCAACAAGTTTCTCCTCATGTTGAGGTGGAACTTCCTGTGTTCTAGCTTATACCTGTTATTCCTTGTCCTGTTACTGGGCACCACTGAAAAGAGACTGGCCCCTTCTTCTTGACACCCTCTCCTCAAATATTTGTATACATTAATAAGATCCCTTCTAAGTCTTCTTTTTTCAAGACTAAACATCCTCAGTTCTCTCAGTCTGTCTTCATAGGAGAGATGTTCATGTCACTTAATTAACCTCTGTGCCAGGACCAGACCAGTTCAAAGGATAGCCGAAGTTGCCTCAGCGACCACCTTCCAGTGATGCCCACAAGCTGCATGGCTTGTCAGTGGCCTCCTGTCCCTGCACCAGTATGGCAGCCACCCAAAGAGGGAAGGCAGAGAGCTTGCAGGTGAAGTGAAGGCATCAGGCATTTCCGATGGCTTCAGCTGCCCACCTGTGTCATTGCCTGGAGCGAGGCAGTGAAGGCGATGACTTCACCTCTCACTGTGCTCCCTAGAAGACGGATGTATGCAGCACAGAACAGCAGGTTCTAAACCAGTCTTAGGACGTTTACACAGCAGCTCTTTGAGACTAGCCCAGCAGAAGATGTTGCTGAAGTTACCAGCTCCACTAAATGTCAAAGAGCTGTCCTTGTTTGGATTGGACTGGGATGCATTGCGAGCAAGGCGTTGAGTGGAACCAAAACAGCTTCATGGCATTGAATATGTTCCAAGCACCCCTGGCATGTCCACATGACACCAGACACACTTCTGTCCCAGATGACCAGATGTGAAGACAAGCGTGTGATAGCAATGAAACTGTGGGCAAATTTCTTTTGTAGACTGAGAGTGGAAGTGGGTGAACCACGACCGCTGGAGCAGAAGGTGCTGCCCACCAAGGCAGAAGAGCATTGGCAGAGCTGTACAAAGCTAAGCCTGAAGGAGGACGCAGGTCTCCAGAAACGTGTTGAGAGCTGGAAGGAGGGCTTGGAAAAGCAGAATGTTGCACATTGGATAAGAGGTGTCAGCCTGCATCAGAAGAGCTTCAGCAGCATGCTGGCACGCTGAGAGACATTGGTTGATCAACTAAACCATTCCCCCCACTCTGCATAGTGCCTGCTTAGTATTTACCAGGTTTACCAAAATGTAGAGTTTGGGAATAATAGTGGCTATTTTCAAAAGACTGGAGAAATCTGGTTGTCTCAGGACACAGTCTTCCACAAAACAGGAGATGAGACATTTCTGTAGTAGACTCGACCCACTGCCTGCCGTGACCTCAGCCAAACAATTCCTTAATGTCTTAGTAGAAGAAGCTGGCGGTAAAAATGAATTAAAAAATCTTGGTTTAGCAAACTTTGTCCTTGTCTAAAAGACTGGTGCAGAGTACATATGGACGGAAAGCTTGGGCATTATGGTGAGAGATGGCTCCTAGCAGAGTCTGGATTGAATTTCTGGATACCCTAGGACTGCCAAAACCAAGAACAGACAGGCGCTGTTGGGAAGGGAGGGATTATGAGGGATTTGGTCACAAAGGTTTGTGACGGTGATGGTGACCATGTGTGTTAGAGAGGTGTTTGTGTATGAGGAGTTGGGCAGCTGGGAGAGAGAGGGGGACTTGCAGGCTCCTGGAAGGATGCCCTTTGGCCCTGAGCCCAGCACTACCCCACCGAGTCCAGCAGCACTTGCCTGCAGTTTCTCGTATGATGTGCAGGCATTGTCCTCCCTCACTGCCAGGTGGGTTGGCCTGGAGGACAGCAAACAACAGTCTCATGTAGGGGAAAAAGCATCCTGGTAGGAGCGCACGCCACCTCCACAGCTGAGAGGCTTGGGGCGAGTTCTTTCCGAGTTAGGCTAAAGATTTTTTTTTTAATCTTTTTTCCCTTGATCTAAAATGCAGCCCCATTTGAGTTTAGCCTTTCTCGCCAGCTGCTGCCAGCATGAGTCTCCTGTCTCTGGCGTGGCAGGGCTGTGGCCAACCTGCTGCCCCAGCAGCCTGCTGGCCTGGACACCTTCCTATCCTGTCTCTGCATGGAGCCAGCCCTTGCAGAGTCAGCACTTCAAGGGGACAGCGTGTCTTTCCACAACTGTGCTCTGCCCCATCTTCCAGCTCCCTTCCAAAAACCCCAGCCACGTTTTGCTCGTTTGATTTAACGGTTACTGGACTGCCTTGGTCGCTGGCCATGCTTGGCTGTGCTCAGCCATGTGGCTCTGAGGAACCCACAGCAGGGATTAATTTGGCTACGGGCTAATTTTGGTGTAGCTTAGGTCAGGTGGCAGCATAAACCACATTCTTCCTTCTCCTCCGCAGATGCCTACACGAAGACGGAGGTGATCTACACCTGGACACTGGGGAAGGATAAATCAGTGGAGGTAGCAAAGGGTGGATCTCGCCTGAACCAGTATGACCTGCTGGGCCACGTCGTTGGGACAGAGATGGTTCGATCCAGCACAGGTACTTGTGAGACCACAACGCAACGCATGGGCTGAGCAGACTGTCGGATGAAATGGCACCCACGGGCTTTGAACGCCCCGGTTTGGCATAACTAAAGGGGCAGTACCGGTGAGCAGTGAGCACAGAACATCCCAAGCCACATGCTGTCAAACGTGTCGAGGGGACATCTGAAGCAGTCACTGAGAGGCGGTAAAGGGTTTGTTTAGCTTTTAGTGGTTTTTCCTGCCTTTAGAAAAGGGATTTCAAGCATCTAAAAGTCATCTCTCATGTGGAAAACTTGCCCCACCTTGCCCAGCTGCTTCTTGGTACTGCGGGTTCATTTGTCTTGGATCCCTTTCCAGTCCCTCAGGAGAGCATTGCGGGCAGGGGAGGTGAATGCAACATAATGTTCAGTGTGTTTTTCACTGCATCTGCTTACACAAATATTATCATAGCTAATAGAAGATCATCCCAAACAAATGTTTCCTCTGATTAATGACCAGTATTAATCATCTTTCTTTCCCATCTGCTGCTCCTTTCTTCCCCTCTGAATCCAGGTACCAATAGTTTCTGTTATCTCATGAATGTATTGTCTTTTTTTTTTTCCTTTTCTTTTCCTTTTTCTTCTGTATGCACCAGTAGTTCTCTCATTTGAGGATATTTCCTCTCTGGTGCACTTGATTTTAATAGTGTCTGTCTGTAACAACTCCTATCACCTCCCTTGGGGAAATGTGGGGAGTCCAGGGAACTAAATGTCATAATATCTGGCCCGTCTCTGTACTTAAGTTGTAGTAAAATGTACAGATGAATAACCTGAAGTGGCAAGAAAGCTGCTAAAGGCTCCTGTGTGTAATGATTTAGCAGAGCCACGATCACAACAAAAAGGCACAATAATCCAACAAAATATCCACAGCTTTGAGTGGAAGAAAAGGGCACTAAGGGAAAATAGGGACAGCGGCTTCTTCGGTTCACAGTCCAAACCTTTAACGACAGAACTTGCCTCAATTTTTGAGATGGTTACAGTGCAGGAAAGTGGAATATTTTCAGGATTAACAGAGGAAAAAAAAAATCCTTTATCCTGAAATCCTACTGAAGCACTGTTAGGGGCTCTCTAGGCTTACAGGACCTTACCCAGGAACTTGAAAGGTTGTTCAGGGCGGGTCTTTAGTTGTTTAGAGATGGACTCTGGTGGTCTGCTGGCCCCATCCTGGGAAGAAGCACTGGTGGCTTCAGCATCTCTAACGAGCTGTCTCTGCAGGGGAGTATGTCGTCATGACCACACACTTCCACCTCAAGAGGAAGATCGGGTACTTTGTGATCCAGACCTACCTGCCCTGCATTATGACAGTCATCCTGTCCCAGGTCTCCTTCTGGCTTAACAGGGAGTCTGTTCCTGCCCGAACGGTTTTTGGTGAGTCTGGGAGTACGGTGAGTGGTTTTTTTGGTAAGGCTGAGCATCCCCTCAGGTCAGAGGACAACGACATCACAAGTGATGGGACTGAGCATCAGAGCTGGTCCTTCTGCAGGCTTTGACTGGCATCAGTGAAGCTGCTGGCTGGTTCCCAGAATAGCTCTTGAAGTCTTTCCAGTGCCCCTACTTCCACTGAATCACTAAAAAAATACTTCTGTCCATGCCTCTGCTACAAGCCAAGCTGTAAATACTAACAGTAATCACGGTATTGATCATCTAATTATATGCATTTGGCTGCGTCTGCTTATCTATATTGGCTTTTGAGTCGAGGAGGGCATAGGTACACGGGGAGGCATTTAAAGCTCTACCTTTTAAATTGGTAGCGTGTCCCTGGTCAGAGCACCACATAACAAGTTCCTGGGCTGAGGCAGTGTAACTGCATGGTAAATATTACTATTTTTATTATTATTTTCTTCAGCTGCTTTCAGTTCTTCACTCCAAAGCAGCATCAGACTGGCATTGCACATATATTAATAGCTTTTACAAACATTTAATAACAGAATTGCTTTGTGCTTTCCCACCAAGACCTTTAGTTCAGGATCTACATACACACAGGCTCAGAGACCAGGTGTGATGCTGCAGGATTGTATTTTCTGGAAGTAACCGTGCCCAGCAGATACCACTTAACGGGAATTAGATTGGACAAAACTCACCAAGCAGAGAGGGGATATGTGCTACCACCTTCTTGTGTATTTAAGACAGAAAGTGGTGTGGTTTAAAAGATCATGAAGCATTTTCTGTGCAGCAAAAAGTTGCTCCCACAAACCCAAGGAGGCCAATGTCCTCTTTTCTGGACCCTCTCTGCAGGTCTAGACCTGTGCCGTGGGTTGGAACGGAATGCGAGAAGGGTCACAGGTGGTCCTACATCCTCTTAAATGAACTAGAAGAGAATCAGTACAGGGTTTGTGTTCACTGAGGCTTCTGAAATGTAGGTTGTGAACCAGCTTTAAAATTTACAGTTGACCTCACCTTCTCCCCATTAGCGCGGGGTTGCCTTCCCTTCCCCAGCGAGGCGAATCCTACAGCGATACCCGGGGGGAGCACGACCCAGCTGGTTTGTGTGATGCAGACAAGAGCTGCACCGAGCGGTGGTAACAGCAAAGAGGGGGTGCAGCCCCTTAGCACACACTTTTTGGTGTTTCCAGCTAAGGGCGAGAGGCTCAGACAGAGGTCGCATAGAAAATACGACCATCTCGAGCATATGGAAAGTCATGAATGGACTTTCCTCACTCATCTGTGTGTGAATCATTTGCAACTTGACCCCCACAAAGTGCACACCTGGACCCCATGTCTGTCCATGCCCCGGGTGGGCTTTTAATTCTGCCTTGGTCCTGGAGTATCTCTTCATTCCCAGCACCGAGCGTGAGCCCTTCCTGAGGGTATTTGCTTCCCTCCTGCGTGATCCTGAGGTTTGTAGTTACACAGATTTCCTTGAGTACACAGCTCAGATTGTGCAGGGAGGAGCTGATTGAAAAATTAAAACCTACCTTTGTGAAAAATGTCTTTGCTCTCAAATTGCCTTGCTTTCCTATTAAGAAAGTAATGAGAACTCCAGTTGTTTATTCCTCTTTTTTTTGCCCCTCTGGAATTGTTGTCAACAATATTAGTGAAAGTCTTCAATTACCAGGAGTACGGCTTGAGGGAAGTGAAAATTAGTCAATATTTTTATAATGTTTTTAATGCATTTTTAATTGAAAAACACATTATTGGGGAAAATGGATAGCAATGGTTGCTTGCTTTGATGAAAAAGCTTTAAAAGGCATTTTGCAACAGATCTTTTTTTTTAAGATAAATCATTGTGACGCTCCTTCTGGCAGCGTGGGCCACTGATGGGTGCCTGGCCATGCCAGCAGGACCCAGGATCCCAGGTGTCCATCCGTGCTGATCACAAGATACTATTTCCAAAATGCTGAGAGAACCAGGAAGAGTGACCAGTCCTTTTTGCTATTATTTTATTATTATTTTTATTTTATTGCAAAAGCAACCAGAAGCTTCTCCATGGTATATCGTACATGAGGGATCCAAGTCTAGTATCACACAGCTTACCCTACTAGCAGACGAGGAATTCAATGCAGGTGCCCACCTAGGAGTTAGGATTCTTTCACAGTGAGCAGAGATCTAGTCGATGGAGTTTGAGGAAGATGAATTTCACCCTAATGCAGATGTCTGTAGTTGATTATATGAATTGGAGATATTCAAAACTGAACCAGAGAAGGTCTGAGCAACCTGAAGTTTGCCCTGATTCAAGCAAGGCTTGGACAAGCTGACTTCCCTTCCAACCCGGACTGTTTCCATGCTTGTTCTATGACTTGCACCACAGATAAGGCACAGATAAGGCTCCATGAACTACAGCAGGAATA